AAAAAAGAAGAAGAATAGAAGGAGAGAGGAGAAAAAAGAAGATAAAAGGGAGAGAGAGGAATTAAACAATCGATGGTTCCCTCCTCGCGTTTCCACGAAACTTTCCGGTTTGTTGCTCCCATTGAATCGAAACTTCAACAACCGGCTCCAATTTTATTTCGCCAAGTTCCAATTGCTGGAGAACTCTTTCACATAATCGAACGTCGAAACTTCCGGAGGAACTCGGATTGACCTTCGATTGACCATCATTCCAGCCCTTTCGACCGGACACAGATCGTCCATTGGATCCAATGTTTATACTCCGCGAATGGCCGAATGCGGGCTAGCAAACATCCTCTTCGAAGTATAGCCGTGGCGAACTACAAGTATCGCAGCGGCATTTGTTTACACTAGCGGTTCAATCAAGTTACGACGCCATAGTAATTGGATTAAACAGGCCGTGCAGTCGCCACAGGAATATCCATCATGATCCAATGTGACGAATTGCAGTCGAACGGATACGGAACGTCTGTTTTCGAGGAACTCCTAATCGAGGTGAGAAGATAACGCGGCTACGTCCTGATAGGATCGTCTGCGGTGCTATTACCTGTGATTAAATCACACCGTGCTACCCTAATCGAATTACGGTAGCCTCAGTCAGCGCGTGCACGTCATTGATTTATTGCGCTCGCTCATAGAAACCGTACCCGCTAGTGTGAACTTCGTGATCTTCGCATCTGACACGACAAAGCCAATACAATAACCGATAAGGAACGATCGTTGTTCGTGATCGAGCCAGCATTGCCCGCTCGTTGCAGACAAATGTTCTCTCGTTGGTCTTCAGGGTGAAATGTTCACAGCCTCGAAGGAACAATACGACTCGCTTCAAATCGCAATCGTATTTAGTTCAATCGAGAAGGTTGGAAAACATCAATCAATAAAGAACGGAACACATATTTTACTCATGTCGAATCGAACACAAAGGGTGTATCGAATTCTTAAGCGAAGCGTGCTACGATGTTTTATTCACAGAAGAAACATGGCTTTCGATTCGATACGACTGGTTTAAAACTGTATAAAACGAAACGCATCATCGTTTATCGCAGTTCTCGCCGATCTCGGTTCGTTGTAGCACGGACAAAACGCGTAAATCGAAGAAACGACACGTGTCCCCTAATATTAAGTACGATATACAATCGGTGTGTGTACGTTTGCATGCGTGTGTGTACGTATACGCGATATCGTTCACGTAGCCTCGAAGCTAAATGAGAAGTACCAAGATCCACTACTCACATTGTCAGTTACATTATTTCGTTATTGCGCTGCAGCGAATACGGGAGGGAACAATATAAATATCTGAAATTTCTCCATCGTTATCCATTCCTTTCGCCTTTTCAACGACATATCCAGTCGCGATAATAATTCTAATATGTAATTTACATTCCTATAGATCGTGTGAGTCATAAATGCACTTTGGTCTTCCAGTCTAGTCGGGACATTCACGCGGGTATAACGATGCAGGTACAAAACGC